CCAGGCAGGACTCACGCATTGCAGTAGGGCTTCTTCTCGTAGCCCTTGTAGTTCTTCATGTTGAGTGTCATCTTGCACGTCTCGCAATGGAAGCATGCTTTATGCCAGAACTGGGGACAGAGGCAGAGGGAGGACACCCGTCAGACACCAGGACTTCAGGAAGGGGGCTCAAGCCCTAGGAAGGAGCGCTCCAGCTCCACCCGGGGGAACGGAACACGAATCACCTTGGGTGAGCTGGGGACATCTCAGATCACAGGCTCTGGCAGCTAAATGATAGTGTGTGTGTGTCCCATCCCCCCACCTCCCAGCCAATCAGCCATTTGAGCTGTGAGGAGGGGGAGAAGCATAGGGTGAGTGGGGAAGAGGGCAGTAATAGCAGTGGTAAGCTGTCCCCAAAAGGTCAGCCCCACCTCCCCCGACCACTCCCGCTGCCCCCAAGCTGGGGAAGCATCATTGCTTACGCAAAGCTGTACCAGGGTTGCTAAGAGGTGGCTGCTGAACATGAGGGGCAGCTCCTCAGCCTTGACAATGCCTAGAGAAGAGAAGAAGGGGGCCTAGCTCCTGAGCACCCAGGCACTCCTAGCTCCCACACCAGGGACTCCAGCTCTGACATCTCCCACTTCCTGTGAGACTCGACCAGAGGATAGCAGTGGGTGCTTCAGTTCTAACCACAGATCCTGCACCCTTTCTCCCTCCCTCAGCCTTCTCTCAGCCCTCACTCAGTAAGAGAGCACCCCGCTTAAAAGCCTTGGAAGGGAACCCCCAGAGTGGGCATCAAAGCTCCACCCTGACTAGCTATGTGACCTTGGCCGGGGACCACACCTCTAAGCCACTTCCAGGTCTGTAGGATGGAAATGATACTCATCCCTCTGGAACTGCTGGGGATTCAATTAGAAATCACCTACAAAGCCCTCAGCACAGTACCTGGCACCTCTAAGTACCCGGATGTTAGGTGCAGGGCACAGCAGATATGAACCTCAGCTAAGAGGGCTCGAAGGCTCACACTGGAGATTTGTGTGTGTTGGGTGCAGGTGGGGCTTCACTGTGCCCAGCCACAGCTACACTGTGGGTGAGAGTGAGTGACAGGTAAGACTCCAGCAAAGCCAAGAGACCCAGAACAGAGCAACCAGGGCCAATCCAGTATGGCCAATGGGGGGGAACAGGAGGGAAGGGGACAGGATGCAACATTTCTCATCCAAAGAAATGTTAATGCTGGGGCAAACCCATGCGAATGAGATCTAAACCTGCCCTTGGCAGCCCAGGACAAGGCCCTGGGATCTGCACTGACCAGGAGTCCAGCTTTCAGGGCCCAGAACTCAGGCTGCCTGGCTGACCCAATTGGCCTGTTTCTGCCCCATTTCCCAGCAGTCAACCCCTCAAGGAAGGCCAGAAGCCAGGGAAGGGCCCAGGGACGTGTTTGAAGGTGACCAGCACAGGGCTAGTTCTTGGCCATCTGCCAAGGAATTCACCCAAGGCAGTGCTTTTCCAAATGTGTTTTCTTGCTAAGGGTGCTTCTGGGACACTTTGGAGGAGGGGACAAAAAAAAAAGGGAGCTGGGAGGTTGGGATACCATCTGCCCTACCCTGGCCCACTTCAACCAGAGACCATGGGGTCATTTGGGAGGTAATCACCCTCTAATAGGGTACTTCCCATCAAGGAGAACCAAAGGAATCTCCAGTAGCGGAACTGACTGAAGTGATAGGGGAACCACTGTTTTGGGAAGGCCAGCTGGAAGTCTGGAAGCAAAGGGACGGCTGGTCTAAGCTTGGCCCCCACCCCAGCCAGGCCTATGCCAGAGCCCAGCCCAGACTCAAGGTGCAAAACTCCAACACATACAGCACACCAGAAAAACTAAAACAGGGTAGTCCCTGCCCCTGTCAGCCCCCAAAGTAGGAGCCACTCTCCCTCCCCCAATACCTGGGAGGCACTGGCAGAGTGCCCCAGCCCTGTCACCACCCAGTCTGCTGGCCACAGCCTGCTTAGTTGCACATGCCCTTGCCTGGGCCCCCACCTCCCTCGACCCCCGCAGGGGCCTGCCAGGAAAAACATTCTCTGGAATCCAGACCATGACCCACTTTCACACACACACGCACACACACATCTGTAGGAATACGCACCGTCCTAGGACTGCCTCCTAATTGATTTGGGGGAGACAAAGGGAAGGAGACAGATACCTCTACCCTAGCAGATGCCCTGGATCCCGCCATGAAGCCAAGCGTCTACGGATCGGGCTGGGGGTACAGAGCCAACCCCCAATCCAGGGGTTCCTCCTAACTGCCATTTGAACGGGAGCCCCGATACCAGAGGATGGTGCCCATTTCTCTCCAGCTGTAAAGTGGAACTAAAACCAGGGTCCCACAGATGTGGGGAGGAGTAATGAGATGACTCATGCTCCAGGCTAGCTGCTTCAGGTCACTTCCCTCACTCTCTGGAGGAGGGCTCCAAGGTTCAGGAAAATCCGCAGCTCCTGCCACTGGGTCCTCTTTACAGCAGGAAAGTGGAGGGCAGGGAAGACAGAATAGGGCGAGTCCCTCTGCAGCCCCTGTGGGCCAAGCCTGGACTGGGCACCCCAAGGAAATGCCATTCCTGTCTGAATCAGTCTGGTTAACAACACGGTCAGGGAAATAAGTCAATAAAACCCCACAATGACCCTCTCTGTCTACCTCTTTCCCCTGTCCCATAAGCCCTGTCCCTCTTTCTTAAAGGCCTCAGTAAGGAGATTTCAGAGAAGCATTCCTGAGACTTGAGACTCAGGATCGGGAGCAAAGTACACCTCTGGGCAGACAACTCTAATCCTTCCCACTGCCTTGGAAGCCCACAGTTTCCCTTTCACAAATAATCAGGCCTCTGTTGTCTGTTAGAGTCTTCTCAGCCCATCTCCCAGGCTCCAGCCCTGCCCTTGAGTATCCCTTGCTGCAGCTCCAAAGTTGAAGCCCAGTCCACAGAAAACCCACTCCACAGAAAGGCAAACAGAGGCTGATGGGGCAGAAGTAAGATCTCCCGCACTTGGGCGTGGCTTGGACCAGCTCCTATCTCTCTGGAATCACGGTGGAGGTTGGGGAAGCGCTGCTCACAGCTCTGGGTGAGAGAGATTCGGCCAACTTCAGGTCACTGTGGCTGCCGCCTGGCATCCTGCCCTCTGCACCCAGACTGCCTGGGGTGGTCATGACTCAAGGTTGAAGTATGAGACCTTCCTCTCCTTTCCTGTTGCCCAGGGTTACAGTTTCTCCCTTCTCTAGGGGCAACACCAGCCCACACCCTGGTTGGATCACCAACCTAGTTCAGTTGGCCACCTGGGCAGCTGGCTTAAAGTCATCGACCTTGGCTGCATCTCCACAAATTCCCAGGAGGAGATGATTATCTTAGTATCCCAGCTCCTGGAAAGGCCCAGGCCCAAAGCATTCCTCGGGCCAGGGTTGGGAAGGGGCAGGACCATATGGACGCTAATGAGACAGTGTAAATACTTTTTTGCCAGCATAACAGGCAGAAGAGCTGAGCACAAAAAAGTTCAGATTTGAATTCCATCTCTGGCTGAGAGGGGAATGAGCCACATAAACTGTCTGAGCTTCCATTAATGGAGTTCATCATTTACAGAAGCAAGTACATCTGTTGTGTGAGGCTGCTGCAAAGACTGACCCTGGCACATCGCAATACGTCGTAGCTACTATGAATGGATGGCCACAAGGTGATTGTGGGGTACTCTCAGCTTTCACTAGGAAAATGGGGCACCACAGCTGCAAGGACTAGTCTTTTTGTGTCCAGTCCAGTCTCCTATTTTGCTGCCCCCTATGGGACTGAGAGGGCAGGGTAGGGGACAATTCAGACAACCAGAGGCAGAGAGCCCTCCTACTGGGGGGTTCCAGGGAAACTAGCACCCACCAATCCTCTACTCTTCCAGAATGAATGTCTCCACCTGTTTTCAGGAGCCCAGGAAAGCAGGGAGAGGGACAGGGCAAGATTCTTGACAACACAGGGCCCCAGAAACAAATGCTTCCTAACAGGGTCTGGGATAAAAATCTACTTTCAAAATGTAGAGGACATTTTGAGACATAGCCCCTCTCTCCCTCCCCAAAGGCCTTGTGGCAACCTTCAGAGTGCCTGGCACAAAGTAGGTACTCAATAAATATTTGTCCAATGAACAAGCCAATGAGGTCACCCTGTTTCTCCTCCAACTCTATCTAATCCCATAAGTCCTCTGGGAAAGGAAATCTCGATCTCCTTCCTCAAACACCGTCATCAGCAATACATATTTATTCAGCATGCAGAACACACTGGGTACTGCAGGTTGGGGGCAGGGTTGCCATCAGAGGTGACATGGCCTTTACTCACCTAAGCCTTTGGGAGATTGGGAGCAGGGTTGCCATCAGAGGTGACATGGCCTTTTCTCACCTAAGCCTTTGGGATATTAGGCTCAGGGAGGACAAAAGGTTAACACCAAGGATATAGCTTGTTGGTCAGATTGTGGGCTAAGTGCCTTAGGGAAATTGTAGTGAACAGGGTGGGTCTAATTTGACTCTCTCCTATTGTAAACTGAAAGCCTTGGGAAGTTGGTTAGCAACCTTGCCTATGGGACTGAATGTTCTGAAGGCGTCAGCCCTTGGGGCACCAGTTCCCAGTAGGAAGTGCCAATCCTTACTGCCTGGAGGGGGTTAGGAGGAAGAGGTCTGATACCTGGATATTCCAGGCTTCCTGCTCAGTGCAGGGGGGCCAGGGTAGGTTTTCCCAGGACCACCTCCTATAGGGAAAGCTCTAAAAAGGATAGAGGAATCACCAATTCCCACTTCCTAAGGCAACCCCCACCTGACTGTCCTCTTCAGCTAGGGCAAAAGAACAGCTAGCTGGGGAGGGTGCCTTGCAGGATTCCTGCCCTCCTCCCCTGACACACAGCACCAAAGTTCTTCACAAGGGGAGCCAGGTGTGGGGCTACACAGAGTATCCCAGAAAGGTAGGGAGTGCACAGCCTATACTACATCCCCTTCAGGGCATTTTAGTGCACTGCCCCACCTCCAAGGAAATGACATCATACCCATCTGACAGATATCGAACACTGAGGCCTAGAGCATTTATAAAGCTGGTGGGAAACCACCTGGAATGAGGATGGGCTAGCAATCTCTTCATCTGTATTGCTTCTGCCTTATATGGGTAAAAATGTCCAGGTCCTCTTCCCAATTCATGACTGTGGAGAAGGAGAGCTCAAGAAACTCAAGTCACAGAGAACAAAATCCCTACCACCAGGGAAAGGCAAAAACACCAGTGTGCAAGGACAAATAGTTCTTCAGTTAGTGCCTCCAAGCTCAAGTCCTACCCTCCAGAGGTTGGCATAGTCATTGGGAGGGTCAGCACCCACATCCTTTGTGTCCACAATATGGCCTTCCTTTCCTCCTGTGTGGCCAAGCCCAGGAGAGACAGTGAAACAGCAGCAGCCCCATATGCCCCCTTCCTCCGAGGACAAGTTCAAAAGTATTTCAAAACCTTGGAACCCCACACTTTCTCACCCGGACTCAGAGGCCAAAGGTCACTGAGGAAGCTCCAACCCCCAGGGGAAAGGGAGAGAGAACAAGTATACAATGAACCGCCCTTTCCCAAACAAAGCATGGCTTCAGGTGAGCAATGAACTTGGCCCTAAAACTCTGCACCCCTCTTCCATCCCATACCTCCCACCCCTGCCATTTCAGACAAGAAAGAGGGAGTATTTGGACTTGGGGCCAGCTTTCAGAAGTGGGTGAAAGGCACGATGAGGAAGGGGACAGATCACAGAGGCCCCTCCTCCAGACTGGGGAGGGATGCAGAAGAGAGGCAGATTCTGCCTCAGGATCTAAGGGAGCCTAAGAGAGGACCAGATCCTACCCCAAACTGCTGGAAACACCCAATTCGACTCTCCACCACCACCACCCCTCCGAAAGTATAATGGCAACCAGATGAACCAGTCCAGCATGGGTGGGGGGCACGAATCGTAAGGGACCCCAAGGGACAGTGAATTTCCAGAAGGCCACCCTCCCCTCCCC